TAAAGTTTTAAATCCCCTTGATATAAGGACTTTCCATTGTAGTGGCAAAGGTAGTTCAAGTGTAACTTTAGGTCTCATATCTGAATTCTTTGAATCCCCTTGTTAAAATTCCTGGATCTGCCACTCTTGATATGACCATTGTTTTCGAGGAACAATGTTAAATACGAAACCATAGATTATGTTATTCAGTATTTTCATCTAACTTTATTACTTACCAAAAGAAAAAAGAAAAAAAGAAAATTCTCTTTTTGTCTGAGTATTTCGCTCCTTCTGATGCTTAAAAATGCAGTTTTAACCTGCTTTTCCTATGAGTTCGAAATGCTTTTCTTTAAAAAGGTTCCCACAAAATTTCTTGGTGGTCTGACCTATTTACTTAGCCATTTAAAAAACCTTTTAGTTTGGCTTTTGTATAATGAGTCACCAGTTACTTATTTTGTGTTCATACTCTTCAGCTACTTGAGAAAGCATTGGAAGAATCTGGCAATGACCTGGATGCTGCTATTAGGAGCCTGCATGAGCTTCGCCTTGGATATGCAGATGGAAAATCGGACACGAAAGCTTATGGAGAGATGGAAAATGGTAAGTGAATATCAAAATCCCATCATATGTTCAAAAGATTTGTTTGTTTATCATATACTTGGTGTAGCTAAGAGGGATGAATCCTAATTATGTGAAGTTGGAATATGTTTATATATAGACTCACACATACACACGATAATGTATACCTTTCTCGGCTTTTTGGCTAAGATCAAGTATATATCCACCCTACTTTTATCAATTGACTCATCAGTTGCACAATGATGCAAAATTGTCCCGGGAGAAATACAACTTATCTTCCTTGACAGAAATAATGTGCCATTATTAATGAATGAAAAGATGTATCTACAGTTGGTTAATATGTCAGTGGCATGCATGGATGGTTTCTGGTCATATTTATAAAGGATCTCAACCCCCCCAAACCCCCACCCACCCACCACACACACACTCACACACACAAAAAAAAACTTAAAGGTGTTTTTGGAGGGAACAAATTCTGGATCCTGTGACACTCATTTGCTACAGATAAGTGTATCTGTGTTGTATGTGTCAATTTTGGTATCAGCAACAGATAGTGGATCTTGTAACTGGCATCACTCATTTGTTACTGATAACTGATAAGTGTATCGGAGTTGGAAATGTCAATTTTGGTCCATAAATTTGCAACCCATCCAAACTTGAGGTTGGCCGGTTGGGATATGACCCGCATCAATCCATATTGACTCAAGCAACTTAGGGCGGGTTTGATTGGAACTTGTTTATGAATTTAACCTACTTTACAACAACAACAACATACCCAGTATATCCCACAAGTGGGGTATGGGGAGGGTAGTGTGTACGTAGACCTTACCCTACCTGGAGAGGTAGAGAGGTTGTTTCCGATAGACCCTCGGCTTATCGGCTCAAGCTACGGTGGAAGAAGAAGAAGAAGAAGAAGAAAGAGGGGGGAGAAAGAAAGACGAGGGAGACAAAAGACGATAAAGAAAAAAAGGAGAAAAAGTAGCATCAGATAGTAACAATTAGGGAGCAATAATTTCCGGTAAAAGGGAGAAAGAGTAGCATCAAATAGTGACAATCAGGGAGTAACAATTTCCAGTAGCAATTTTCAAAAACAATGGACGTGGTTGCTAAGTATCAGATATAATAACAAACTAAAAGGAAGTAACTTTCAACCAACAACTAGAATATTACTAGTACTAGTAGTAAACCTAGGAGAAACTCACAACTACCTGTCAACCCACCACATTAATCCTCAACCTCCACACCTTCCTATCGCTAGTCATGTCCTCGGTTAGGTGAAGCACCGACATGTCCTGCCTAATCACCTCTCCTCAATACTTCTTTTGCCTACCCCTTCCCTTCCTCAACCCGCCATGGTCAACCTCTCATACCTCCTGACCGGGGCATCTATGTCTCTCCTTCTCACATGCCCAAACCATCGCAGCCTCGATTCCCGCAACTTGGCTTCCACGGATGCCACTCTCACTTTGTCCCTAATAACTTCATTCCTGATCTTGTCTTTCCTGGTATGTTCACATATCCATCTCAACATCCTCATTTCAGCTACGCTTATCTTCTGGACATGGTACTTCTTGACGGGCCAACACTCAGCTACATACAACATAGCCGGTCTAACCACCACCCTGAAGAATTTGCCCTTAAGTCTAGGCGGCACATTCTTATCACATAAAACCCCCGAAGCTAGCCTCCATCTCATCCAACCCGCTCCAATGCGGTGGGTAACATCCTCGTCAATCAACCCGCTAACCAACTCATTTATTTGACACCCTAGAGGTGTCAATTTCAACTCATAAAAGTGTAATCGTCCAACCTCAAACCTGAGCTTGGTAGTTGTTGTTATGGCATGTTCAATTCATCTTGACCAAAATTTGTGTATTCGCGTGCATACATTTTCTTGTATACATGTATATATGGTTATCATAAAATTACTTGTATACATTTGTGTATTTAATTTTAACAAGTATTTGTGTGTCTCTGTGGTGTATGGAGTAGTTGTTATCATGGACATGCCACTTCTCAAGTTTATAGTTAATTCATTTAAGAAGTTGAC